AGAGACATGCAATATTGATCAATCAAGGACTCACTGACAGTTTCTTTCAGCAAAGAAATAGAAGACAGTAGATCAACTATGTTAACTATCCTGTATATACATACATACAAAATTTCTCCTTCTTTCCCTTCTGTTTTCCCACATCCCAGTTGCCCTTTACCCTTGAGTACTTTCCTATCAGGAAATGTTTTTCTATTAGTAGAAAACCTTGTAAAAGTCTCTTTTCCGTGTTGTTCAATTTCAAAGAATATGTTACTTGATTCTCTTTGTAAGTCTTGACTAAAGGTAGAAATGTCCTCAGTTGCTGAGCCTCAGTAGAGTAGGAGCTGGAGAGGTGGTGGATGGTGTTGATATTGGCATATTTTGATTCCTGAAAACATGCAAAGAAGGCTTCCAAAGTTTTTAAAGGTGTAAAGTTCATGCATGTGCCTTCACTTGTTATGCTTCAAAAGAATAGAGTTTTGGCTAATTACTACCATTAATTGAGTTCACAGGTTCAAATGCAGCTATTTACATTTACTATCCTGAGTGTCAATCTCTAAATATTTTCCTACTTTTCTGCTTTCCAAAATGAGTGGAGTTGGGCTGGGGATTTAGTTCAGCGGCACAGCGCCTGCCTGGCAAGCATGAGTTTGAGTCCCGGTACTGGAAAACAAACAAACAAAAAAAACCCCACAAAATGAGTGGAACATTGTAAATGCTTTGGGGTACAAAAACAGTTTGAATTCAGAGATTTTATTTTTTTGGTCTGTTTTGCTGTGACATGCCCTTGTGTGTTTTTCTTCTAACTTAAACTTCATTTATGAAAATATTCAGTTTATGCTCTAGAACACTGAAGTACGCAACTATTGGCTTGACTTACTGTATCGTGTTCATACTTAATTTTAAATCTTTGTGTAGAATTTAAATGTTTGCTGATTAAGGAAATGATTATATTATTACACTTTCGCGGTTTATATATATATATATTTTTTTTTATTTTTTATTTTTTTTTGGTTTTTCTCCGGTACCGGGAACTGAACTCATGACCTTGCGCTTGCCAGGCAGGCGCTTTTGCCGCTGAGCTAAATCCCCAGCCCCGTTTCGCGGTTTATATTTGCAGCCAATTAAAGGTGCATGATAGATATAAAATCTAGCAATCTAAATTCAGAAAAAGTTCTCCTGTCTCTTGCTGCTTGGCTAAGGCCCTTTGGCAATTACAATGCTATAAACTGAAATTTAAAAAAGATATATAGGGGGCATGGTGTTAAGAGTGTAGTCTCTTCCTGAACTAAGTTGTGTCATAATATGCTTTGCAAGTGAGACAAAGCTAACACCATTTGTTATTTTTCTTTTTTATGAATATTAAGTAATTACATGCTCTTTACTTATTGATTGTTCATGCGACATCTAATTGGAGTGAGGTAGTGAAAGTTGCATCTGCTTCCCATTGTAGGTTATGAAGTTCTTATCACAGTGACGCGCGAGCTGTTCATTGGGAAGGCATCTACAAATTGAAGCACAGTTAAAAAGATTTGGCTTAAATGTATTGTTATCTGGGGTTTACAGCCTCATTTATCTGGACTGTCGATTTACTATTGCTTTTCTCCCAACAGAACAGCAGAAACTCTCCTGATGTCTTCCAGTAATGACCAGTTTTGTATCCCATTGTCGCAAAGAAACACCGATGGTCTCCCCAGCATGACCTCCAGTGACCCGAAGACATGTACTGAAGGGGCTGTGTTAAGTTTTCATAACGTCTGCTATCGAGTAAAAGTAAAGAGTGGCTTTTTACTTTGTCGGAAGACGGTTGAGAAAGAAATCTTATCCAATGTCAAGTATGTGAATAAACTTTTAAAAAGACCACTTTGTTGACCTACAGTGAACGTCACAGGTTTTTTTCTTCTTTTTTTTTTTTTTTTTTTTTTTTGGTTTTTCTCTGGTACCGGGAACCGAACTCATGACCTTGCGCTTGCCAGGCAGGCGCTTTTGCCGCTGAGCTAAATCTCCAGCCCCAGGTTTTTTTCTTTTACCAGTGAATTGTTATATGAGTGTTTGTGTTGAACTCTTCAAATTGGTATACTGACACATGCTTTCATTTCTTTCAGCTAAGCTAGGGCTGAAATGATTGGATCACTTAAGTGTGTTTAAATGAGAGGAACTGACATACTGCTTTAAAATGTGTTTATACTATGTTTTGTTTAAGAAACTGAACAATTACTATGTCATTTAATTTTTCCTCAGTAAGTCTTGTATTTTGTTGGAAAGAGGCCTGGCTGTGTGATTCATTGTTTTAATCATGGGGATATAATTGTAACCCTTTGAATATTACTTTCTGAGCCAAATAGTTTGCAGGTACTTGTATACTTTATGTCCTTTTTATTAGAGTAGCAAGAGGTTTGAAATGATAGTACATGTTAAAAGTACTTTCCTTTCAAATAGACCTATTTTTTAAAATGGCCTATTTGTAGTAGTACATAGACTATAACAATTTAGTACTTCCCTTCCATGATAAAGACAGATAAAAATGTTTAAATACAAGACAATTATAATTTAGCTGAAGTTATAGAGTTGATGTACAAAGTGATGAGAATTTAGGATCTAAATCAATGCACTTAATTTTATTTTAAAAGTACATAGTATACCTGTAATCTCAGCCACTCAGGAAGCTGAGGTAGGAGGATCATAAGTTCAAGGCCAATTTGAACAATTTAGGGAGATCCTACCTCAAAATAAAGCCCAAAAGACAAAAAAACAAAACAAAAACCCTAAAAGAACTGGCAATGTACTCCATGGTATAGTGCCCCTGGGTTCAATCCCCAGTGCTGAATGGGGAAAAAAACAACAAAAATTCAAACTAGTAGTTATGATTTTCATTCATTCCGTCTACAACCAGGAAGAACTCAGCCTGGTGTTGAAGTAGGGCACACAGTGGGAAGGAACTGAGCATTTCCGTAGAACTGCGCTACCAGGTATCTTTGCCATTTCCCAGATCTGGCTGATAGGGTTGTGAATGTTTTTGTGATTTCTAGAGAATTGAGACTCTACTTCCCCTCTCTGATATGGAGAAGTGAATTTGGGTTTGGCCAAAATAGCACGTACTTTATTTCACTATAATTACTTATAAAGAAAGCAAGCAAATTTTCCTAAGGCTGAGGAGATGGCTCGGAGTCATTCGACTCCTTGTGGCTGCAGACATACATGGAATCAGGTGTTTCTTCTGTCTTCTTGATGTGTTGTACATGACTGTGGTCTTGTTTTGTTCCTAGGAATCAACTTTCTTCAGCCTTTTGGGTATGGGTAGCAGGGAACTGATGACGATCTGAGAGCTGGCTGGGCTGAGCCAAGAGTGCCGGGTAGGATTAGAAAGGTTTCCATGCGGCAACGCCCTCTGTCAGACTTGCTTCTTATCTCTTTCTTGTGTTGGTTAAGAAATCCTGACTAGAAACATAAGGAGATGAATGGTGAATGCCAAGCTTTCATCATTTGTTACATACTTAGATGAAATTGACTTAGGGGAAACTGATAAGCACTTTGAAAGTGTTCATCCCTTCACGTTTTATGTTAAAAGAAGTAGAAAAATAACATAATTTGAATATGTGTAGATTGAATAGATATAAAATGTGTACGGAGTGAGGGTACATTTTTACTTTGCTTTATTTTCATTTTTGGTGCTGAAGATTGAGTCTTTGGCCTGGAGCATGCTATGCATAGTGCTCAGCCACTGAGCTATAGTCCTAACTCCTCCAAAAAAGGTACGTGCACACACATACACATTTTTTTTTTTTTTTTTCTTGTCATCTTTGGGGTTGAACCTGGGGTCTTAAGGTAGAGAAATCCTGTACCAGTTGAGCTGTACACCTGGTTTCTCTTGCTTATCTTTTTAAGCTAATAGATGAGTGACTCAACATAATTGTTAGCATAAGTGTCAACTTAAGTGTCAGCTGCTCAATGTTTTTATGGCCGGGGATATACCTTTAGGCAAAGGAGGGAGTCCTTATCTTGTGCTTTCCTACCCCCCCCTCCCCCGAACATGCAGTCAGATTCTTTCAGTTTTTACAGTTGAAAGGATTGGTATCTTGTTTACTCACATTTCTAGGTTAGGTATGCATGAGAAAGGTCATCCCTTTTTGGATGCGTTGTTTCCAGTCTTTCTCCTGCCTTCAAATAATTAGAGTCTCTGGAGTATGGGAAGTTGCTCTCATTATCTCATTTTTAATTTGTGTTTGACAGCATCATCACCATTCAAAATAGCAACTGTATACCAGAAAAGCTGATGAGAATATTGATTTTCTTTTTACCTTCCCTTTTATAAGAAGGTAAAGCAAAACTTGACCATGCATATTTGGTTTTCCCAATCTTATGGTTTGGTTTTTTTTTCTGGTACTGGGAATTGAACTCACAACCTTGCACTTGCCAGGCAGGCGCTGTGCTGCTGAGCTAAATCCCCAGCCCCTTCCCACTCTTATGAAAACCCTTTTTCTTATGCTTAATTTTTCTTAATATCCAGCAGTTGAGCTTTCCTTTGCCAGTGCTGAAAATCTGTGGAAAAGAATCCATTCTAAAGCGCAAGGTCGAGTTCCATTCCAGGTACCAAAAAAAAAAAAAAAAAAAAAAGAAGGAAAAAAAATCCATTCCAGGAGACCTGTGGATATTCTGTAAGCATGAGGGAAATTCATCATGTACTTTGGGATATTTTCAAATTATTTAATAATTTATTTTGAAATAATGTCCAACTTAAACCTGTAGGAACATAGCCTTTTAACTCAGATTCTCTGTTGACCTTTCACTGTGTTTGCTTTCATCACTGCGCCTCTTTATGTGCCCCTTGTCATTAGTGATTTTGTGAACTGTTTGAGAGCAGACTGCCTGCACAGTGCTCTTTCATCCCAAATTCTTTCAGCTGAGGGTGGACCCTGTCCTGTATAATCTTTCAGTTGTTTCTGTTGTCCAGTAGCAGCCCAGGGCAAATGTAACTGTTGTGGTGCTCCTCCCAGGACTAACTGACCACCAATCTGGTATTTTCCAGTCTCGAACCACCTAAAATTGATCACTTGGCCTTCTTCCTTCTGCCAAACTTAACCATAATGTCACCATTTTCGTCTTTGTGCTTGATTAGTACTGTGTGAGATGGTTTCATGTTATCCCAGAATTCTATTCCTCATTAAATTCCAACTCAGCAGCCTGAGATAGATAACTGTTGTGTTAGTCACCAACCAGTACAACAGTTGTTACAGGGCAATTTTTAATTTTCATCATCTCAAAATTTACATTCTAGGGCCAGGTGTATAGTTTAGCAGCACAAGTGCCTGCCTGGCAAGTGCAAGGTCCTGAGTTCAATTCCTGGTGCCAAAAAAAAAAAAAAAATTACATTTTACTGTGAGTAAGAAGTATCATTCATCATCCCTTAATTTACTGTATGGACTCATAGATTTGTATTTTATTCAGTAGCATTAAGTAGCATTCCTTTATGTCCTCATTCTTTTGATTTATCTCCTCATTCTTTAGTATTTCCATGACACACAAGAAGTTCCAGATTGACTATGTATTTACCCTGTCAGACCTGGAGTCAGCTGTTCATTTTTGTGGAAGGTGATAAAGTATTCATGAACAGCTGGGTGTTCAGAATGCTCACTGCTATTGGAGTTTCATTGCTTTGAGTCCTTAGTGGACAGTCCTAGGGAACAAGTGCATGCATCTGTAAGTTTGTTAAACAAGTGCCTCCCATGTGCATATGCATGTGGATCTGGCCAGGATGGGTGAGAAGAGCAGTGCGATCTGGATGGTGCACCCACAGCACCCACTATCTTTTCTCTAGCTATCTGCATAGATTAAAACCCACGACCTCTTGTTAAAGCACCCAATTGTTTTGTTTGTTTGTTTCTGTTTTTTTGAGACAGGGTCTTGCCATGTAGTTCAGGCCAGCCTTGAGCTCACTATGTAGCCCAGGCTGGCCTCAAACTCACAGTGCTCCTCCTGCCTCAGCTTCTCAAGTGCTGGGATTACAGGCGTGCACCAACATGCCTTGTTTTAATGCACCAAGTCCAACATAACACTTTGTGTTCTTTCCACATTTCCATATTTGTAACATCTCAAAAAAAGGGAAGAACCTGGCTGTCGTCCTTAATGTACATATTGGCTTGCTCAGTTTTCTTTTTATGGCATATTATTTTCACTTTTAAAAATATTTTTTGTTAGTGCATATAAAAGGTAGGGTTTCACTGTGGTATTTTCACACATGCATAGAGCATAGCTTAGTCCCCATTAGCTGACCTTACACCCCTTTCCTCCTCCTCCCTTAGTCCCTTCCTTTTTTCTAATAATAGTCGCCTGTCTACTTTCATGTCAGTTTTGATTGTTGTTTAGATTCCACATATTAGGGAAGACTTGCGATACTTATGTTTCTGAGGTACATAGTCATTTTTCTTATTCCGTAACATAAGCATCTTCCCAGTGCCCCTGGCTCTATCCCCCCTTTACAGCCTGTATTCTGGGAGCTAGCTGTTGTTGCATGCTGCACAGAACTTCCATTGAGAAAGGGAGAGAAAGGGCAAATCCAGTAGGAATTACTGACATAGAATTTGAGTAATTTTCCTCCAGTCTGAATATAACAATCTTTAGTAAATTGTGGAAATGTATTTATTCAACAAATTTGGAATGCCTACTAAGTCATTGGCATTGTGAATAATAGGTAGTGGCTTAGATATGTCTTCTGTTCTCAGAAATCCTATAATCTGATGAGAGATTTCATGATGTTCTGGTATGACGTGAAGGCTAAAATATAATGTATAATGTTAAAATATATAATATATAATGCCCAGGCCCCCAATACTAAATTGGAGGGCTAGGCTAGAGTTTCAGAAAGTGAAAAGATTGTATGTATAAAGGGAGACAGGTTGTGCTCCAGTAATGGCTTTGACATCTCATCTATAAACAAAACAAGACCAAAGGATTGACCAGTATCCACTAAAAATAATGGGTGTGGCAGGGCTCCTTCTGATAAGTTTCATTTCAGGTATTCACTGTTCAGTGTGCTGCATATTGTGGAGTAGGGAAGTGGAGACCCATATGACACAGCTCTTCTTGGGAATGTTTTGAAGTGTAAGGAGAGAGAACTGTGTGCAGATGCTGTAAAACAATAAACAAGAGGGGAGTGACCTTTGAGTGTAAGGAGAGAGAACTGCATGCAGATGCTGTAAAACAATAAACAAGAGGGGAGTGACCTTTGAGGGGTGATAGCGGGGTGAAGAGTAGGGTGGGAAGACCAGGGAGCTACAGTAGGAGTCAGTGGACTCTTCCTCTTAAGGGCCAGATTGTAAATACTTTCAGCTTTATGGGGTGTTCAGGTGTTTTGACACTACATAAATGGATGAGCTTAGCTCTGTTTTGGTGTTTATGAAAACAGACGCCAGGTTGTCAGCTCTAGGGTGCTGATTTCTGGAACAGAGAGTAAACTCTGGGAGGGCAGTACTTTGTTCTTTTCATTTGCTTATGTAGTTGTTTTGTTCTCAGTTCTAGCTCCTGTCCTAGAGGATTGCTGTGTATATGCATACTGGACACTTAGCTGTTGAGCAAATGAAGATGAAATTGACTGCTGCCCTTGATTTGTGCATTTGTGATTGTGCACTGTTTTCTGTAATGCTTAGAGTCAAAGCAAGCCAAACTGAGGGAACTGTGAAATTTCTGCCAGTGAAGCCTTAATAAATAACAAGCTTGTTTCTGATCATTGTTGAAGCAATAACTAGGTACCTATTAACATAAGATGCATTAAGGGCTAAAGATGAATGCACTTTGGAAGTTTACTCAATTATTAGTAGCATGTTTTTGTGTCAGTCTTGGAGACAGAAGGAGATCGCCAGAAGACTAAGAGATATTTTCCGTGTTACTGCCTCCTCCAGACTTATTGAACTCTGTCTTTGATGTTTCTTTGAGAAGTACATTTCCCCTTTGCCTTCCTCAGGCAATGTGTAATTGTGACAATTCAAGGATGAGAGGTAATAAATGCTGAGGTCCTATTTTCTTTATACACCGTGGTGAAGTGACACTAAGAAGTTTATCACTCAGGATAGTTGTGTAATCATAGGGTTGGCCTTTATGGGAATCATAATCTGAGATTAAAATATCGGTCAGCTCTGATCTTTCATTTGGAATAGATGCTGTTTTCTCTGTGGAATACTAACTTAAAAGTTCTGAAGAGACTAGAGAGAAGCACCAGGATTTTGACTGGGCTGAGTCAGGCTTCCGTTTCATCATGGCTGTCCACTGGCAGTGTCCCTTCTGTAGTTTTTGTGTTTTTTAATTTAATTTAATTTAATTTAATTTAATTTTTTTTTTCCCGTACCGGGAATTAAACTCATGACCTTGTGCTTGCCAGGTAGGCGCTGTGCCGCTGAGCTAAATCCCCAGCCCCCTTTCTGTAGTTTTTGTCCTCCTTCCTATCTGCCCAAGTATTCATTACTCTCATGTGTCTACTTAGTTTGTTTGAAGCATAACTTTGTCTGTTTATAGCTGTATATCCTCAAAGGGCATCCCCTCCTGGAGTGATGTCTCCCTTTTCTAAACTGAATAATTCTCAGCTCACTTAACAAGGAAGGAAATGATCTGTCTTTTCTAATTGATAAGACATTTGTCTTGAGTGATAAGAACTGTTCTTATCCTCTGGTGTGCAGCGTTCTAACCTTCGGATTTTTACTTAAGATATGTTGTTTTTTGGTCCGATTAGATCACTATTTCTGGTACTCTGTGAATCACTGATTGCATAGAACTTGGTGAGGCAGCAAGTGAGGCTATTTGAGAATAATAAGCATTAAACATTACTCAGAGGCTGTTTTGTACTTTACACTGTTGTGTGGAGTAAGGATGGTAGGACTTCATGAGAATCTGTTATTTATTTCCAGGATTTATTTTTGTTGCTGGGAGTGAACCCCAGGGTGTTCTGCATGCTGAATTCTAACTCAATTAATGTAAGCTATATTCCCAGGCTAATTTCAAGGTCCACTTGAAGGTTGGATGTATCATTTTCCAAAAGGCATAAGTAGTTAGGAGAATAAGTGATAGAGGAAGCAACTGAGCCATCTTTCTTACAGATCCTAACTATTGACTGACATCCTTTGTATACCAGCTTTCTATTAATCATCAGTTCCTCTTTTTTTTCTCTTTAAGAGTTGGTGCTTACTTTCTGTCCACAATTTTCTCAGCCTTCCTGGATAGTCATTGTAGATGCTAATAGAATTTCTTTTAAAATGGAATAATAAAACAGTATGTTTTTGTGTTTACAGTGGGATCATGAGACCTGGCCTTAATGCCATTCTTGGACCGACAGGTTCAGGCAAATCTTCGTGAGTATAAATAAATAAGCCTTTTCTGTGCAGTTTCAGTGTGTTTTTGAAAATGATTTTTATGGGCTAATAACATAGCTCAGTGGTTAAGTACCTGTGTAGCATGTAGAAAGCTCTGGGTTCAATTTTCAGCACCACACAAAATTGAATGTACATACTAAAAATGACTTTTACGTGAGCACATGTTCAGTGAGCATTTGCTGTGCTTGTTCTGTCTGGTCCTAGGTACTGTGGGTAGTGTGCAGTTGAGCCAGGTTCCGGTTTTGTTTCAAGGACCGAGAAGTCTGATTAGCTCGGCTTTACTAGTAGGACATGATAAAGTGATTGGCATGTAGCAGTGATGGCTAACCTTTTGGAAATCAGGTGCCCAAACTGCAACACAAAACCTACTTATTTATTGCAAAGTGCCAACACTGAAATTAAACCCAAATAGTTTTGTGCTTTGTTTTTGTTTTTTTTAGAAAAAACAACTGTACATTAACATCTTTTGTCTTAAAAAAAAAAAACCATAATAACATGCATGCCATAGCTTCACCATCACTGGCATAGATCATCTGGCTATATTATGAGCCAATAGAGAAAGGAAACAAAGGGATAATATTAAAAGTGGGGAGATAGAACAGAAGGTAAGGTTGAAGGTGTGAGTTTTAGATAAAGGACTATTTAGCCTGGGTTGGCACCTCCCAAGTCAGGTAGTAGGAGGGTCATTTGGGATGTTTGTGCTGATATGCCAATGATGCCTTGCTTTAATATTTTTGAGATATATTCATATAATTATATGTATATAACTGCATAGCTATAAATAGGTGTATATATATCTTGATGACTTAATTTTCTAACTTGAGCAGAATTTGGATTCAATGTGACTAAAAAGTATGACCTGTGTTGAATGGAAATCTCCCTCAAAATATATGTACTTTTATAGGCTGTTAGATGTCTTAGCTGCACGGAAAGATCCACATGGATTATCGGGAGATGTTTTGATAAATGGAGTGCCTCAGCCTGCCAATTTCAAATGTAATTCAGGTTATGTGGTACAAGTAAGTATCAGTGCATTGGTCTTTTAGGTTTCCTGTTTCTATATGGGTAAGTGTCTTGGCTCGTAGCTTAGTGTGCTTCCACATGATTATATGATACGCTCATAGACGCAACTTTCTTTAAACCAGCTTTACATGATCTTCTGTTATGTCCAGGGTGGTATTAAATGGATAGGCAGAGATGATGTGGAATATGACCCCTGTAGGGTAGTGATATCAATTCCAGCTGCTGTGTCCTTTTTGAGAGACATCACTATTTGTCCTTTTCTGCCCTTCTTTTACCTTTCTCCTTCCCCTAGCTTAGAGAGATGTCCTTGGCAAATCCCTGTACACAGCAGTCTGTTAGTAGCTGTAGTATTACCCGGGACCTCCTTGGGTGTGCAGGATGGGAGTGGAAATGATTCCATCGGAATCTGCAGCTGTCTGTACGTGGAGCCCCTGCAATCTGTAGACTCAAAAGATCACCATTAACTAGAACTTTATCATGGGTTTGTTATTGTCATGGAATAAAGTGCCTATACTAGAGTGATGATCTTAGAAGAGATTCAGTATGCCTCAGTAAAATGCCATTTTTCCTTAAGGATGATGTCGTGATGGGCACACTGACAGTGAGAGAAAATCTACAGTTCTCAGCAGCTCTTCGGCTTCCAACAACCATGAAGAATCATGAAAAAAATGAAAGGATTAATATGGTCATTAAAGAGTTAGGTCTGGATAAAGTGGCAGATTCCAAGGTAATGTGGAAAAAGCTTAGCATCATAGCCAGGAAATAGGAACTCCTGTATGGATAATACAACGTTATTCACAAATTTCCCATAATGTGTGTGCTCAGAGTGGTTGCTTTCTGTCATGATGAGAAAAATGGAGTGACTACATAATGTGAAGGTAGAAATTAAGCTGGAAAACCAGTCTCAGCAGTGGGTGGATCCTGGGAATGGAGTGAGGTCTAAGCTGGACAGGGTACCCATGCGGCCTTTTCCATGTGTCCTCCCCCATGCTTGTGGTTCATGCTCAGTTGGTACCTTTTCTTTCTGTTTTTCTTTTCTCACTTTTAGTGGTTCTTCTCCCTCTCTTCCTCCAGGGACTTTGTTCCATGGCTTTTTTGGGGTATGTTTCTAGAACTGATAAATCTGAAGAATCCAAATAGGAACAGTCAAAGTGTTCTTGTTCTGTATGTTTCACTGTGCTGTAATTTGCCTTCCCAAATTATATTCAGTCACATTAAAATTTCATTTGCGTAGTGTTCAAGTTACTTTCCTGTAGATTTCTTTTGGTATTTTTTGTTTCCTATCCCTTCTCTCTGCTGCCTTCCCCGACTTTTTTGCTAATACTAAATTTCCAGACTCTTACATGTAGGATTTCTCTTAGGTTTTAATGATACAGATGTGGGCAAGAATAAGAGGGCAAAGTGACTCCTTGTGGGAGTGATGGTGCAGGATCACCAAGAAGAGAAAATGAGGGGAATGAGTGAGCATGGACATTTTGCTGAGTAGACATTTGGAACTTTGGAAGTGAGCTGTTGAGATTATAATGGCTGTGGTTAACCCCTGCAGTTTCCCCTTCTGAAACACAGTGGAAAACAGGGTTTCTACTAGCTGCTGCTTCTCATGATATTTGCTGACAGTCTTCTAAGTAAACTAATGTTTTTTGCTGAATTTTATGTGGAAGAATTAACTCTAGCAGGCTACCATTCACTACTTATTTTTCTTTTTTGAGTTTGGTTTGGCTTTGTTTATTCACTTGACTTTATCTTTCCAGTAAGGTACTTTCTTTTACTGTATTAACCTTTTTCTTACTTGCAGTGCTGGCAAAATGAACTGGGATCCTCATACATGCTAGGCAAGTGCTCTGCTGGTGAACTCTTAAGTGAGCTCTACCACCTTCCCTGTTCTTACCTTTGCAAGTTGCTTGCTTGGATTCCCAGGGGAAATATAAAGAGTCAGATTTTGACTTCTTAGAATTTGTACAGTGTAATTAATTTGAAAAATTTTAGCTTTTATAGACTTAAAAATAACAAATATAGTCTGGTTATTATGATATAATTATCATAAAATTGTTAATGTAATAGTATGATTACTGATACTGTTTATCTCAATTTTTCAGTTGCTAATATCTCAAAATTGCTACAGTTCTTTCTTACTGAAGTAGTTTTTTAAAAGTTATACAATATTTCACCCTGAATACATGTTATACATTTGCAAAAAATAAAAATGTGAGGCTGAGGGTGTACCTCAGTGGTAGAGCATTTGCTTAGCATGTGTAAAACCCTTGGTTCTATCTCTAGGACCAAAACAAATAAGCAGAAAAATGAATAAAGAATAGCACTGCTTTAGTACATTACTATTATCAACTAACAAGATGAACAACATCTTCATATCATCAGTTATGTGAAGCCCACATTCAATCACATTACCCAGATTATCTCCAGATGTCTTTTGTGGTTTAGTTGTTACTAGGGCAATGGGTAGGTCTTGTTTTTTTTGTTTGTTTGTTTTTGGTAGCTCTTGATTATTATTTCTTTGGAGATTCTTTTTGTAATTGATTCCCACTTCGAACCTCCATAAAGCCTTCCTGTGCCTCTCACATCACAGTGACATTGACTGGTTAACAGGATTGAGCCAGGTTCCTTGTAGAATATCTTGCCTTCTGGATTTGTGTGAAAGGATGAATCAGGAATTCTACAGTGAGGTAGGGTGTAGGCAGAGTCAGTTTGAAATGTGTTACAGAAATTGAAAAGGTGTTATGGTGCGGTGGAAAGTAAACATTCTTGCTCTAAATCCATCTTTTTCCTCTTAAGTTTACTTGAGGACTTTTGCAAGAGGCAGTGAATGGTGTGATCAGAAGACTAACAGCTTACAACAGATGCTTTTCCTTTTCTACTCCTGTGTTTATTTACTATTTTAGACTGTGATTTCACTACATCAGGGCCATATCTTTGTGTTTTACCTTAAAATGAAACATTGGATATGATAAGGAAGGTACAGAACTATAAAAAGCATGGGCTTCATGTCCAGTTTAGCTTTCCGGCAGCTCTGACCTGATCCTCAGTTTACGCATCTGATACAGGAGGAACTTCCTTCTTCTCTCAGGTGTCCATTTATTTGCTGTTCAGAATAATGAGGGTAATGAGGTAAAGTATCTCACATGGGGCTGGCACAGGAAAGTTCACAGAATGGTAGTGATCATGACTGTTCCTGTTAGTGATGGTAGGACTTTGTGTTTTAGGTTGGAACTCAGTTTATCCGTGGTGTGTCTGGGGGCGAAAGAAAAAGGACCAGTATAGGAATGGAGTTGATTACGGATCCTTCTATCTTGTTCCTGGATGAGCCCACGACTGGACTAGACTCAAGCACAGCAAATGCTGTCCTTTTGCTCTTAAAAAGGTAAATGCTATTAGAACATTGTTCCTTCATTTATTCAATATAAATCATTGATCACTTCTGTATACTAGGTGTTCTTGATGCAGAAGATTCCAAAGTGAATAGCAGAATTTCTTTCTTACTCTTAGAAGAAAGCAGTCAATAAAAAAAGACTTAGCCCTCTTAAGAGAAAGATGAAACATAAGCCCAGGGAAATATGGCTCTAGCAAGGTAGAACTGTTTTAAATGACAGGAGGATCAGTGAAGACCTCAAGCCTGTAATGTGGTCTGGGAGGGAGTGAGAGAGACCAGGCTGGATGTGGCAGGAGAGAGCTCTAGTTGGAAGGAAGAGCCAGTGGCACAGGGCTTAGCAGACCTACTATATGTGGGACATCAAAGAGGACAGAGGGTAGAACCCAGTGTCTGAGTGGCGTAGAGGTTGGCTAGTGTACTGTTATAATAAAATACCACAGACTAAGTGGCTTAAAGAACAGTAGTTAATTTCTCTTACAGTTCTAGGAGGCTGGGAGTCTGAGCTTAAGGTGTTCTGGGGTTGTTTCTTCTCAGACCTCCCTCACTGGCTTGTAGATGGCTGTCTTCTCCGTGTGTGTGTAGGTAATCTCCTCTTACATGGGTACCAGTCAGATTAAGACCCACTCAATGGCCTCATTTAATCTTACTTGTATGTTTGAAGATTACCTCCAAAGGCAGCCACATTCTCAGGTACTGGGGGTCAGAACTTTCGCACGAGTTCTGAGGAGGGCACAGTTCAGCCTATCACAGGTGGAATAGGATGTGAGGTGGATTTTGGTTGGTGGCAGATGACATGGACCTCAGAGCCTTCTGTGAAAAGTATGGCTTTTACTGGCCCTGAGGGACATAGGGGGCATTTTCAGAGTTCTAGAGCAGAGCATGGGCAGCTATGGAGAGGCTGTACAGTAGACATTGGTGAGTATGAGGATGCCAGGAAGGAGGTTCTTAAGGGGTGGCAGTGCCTTGACCAGGGTGGTGTGGTGAGGTGCTGAGAGTGTGTGTGTGTGGTAGGGGGTTCCGGGCCTGATTTGAAGAAAGAACCAACAGAAACAGCTCAGGTATTGAACCTGGAGTGTGATGCTTGAGACAGTGACTCCTAAGATTTGGGGTCTGAACAAGTGCAAGAAGGAAGTAGAAGAAATAGCATTCCTTTTAATCAAGAAAGACCATGGCAGGAACATATATAAGAAATATTCCCAAAGGCTATCTGCCTTAAAACTAGTAAAAAATAATTCGAAACTGACAGAAAAGCCCCAAGAATGGTATAGTGGAAATCACACTTCCTTCACCCTGTGTTCCTCAACTGTTACTTCTGTTTCATTTGCTGCCCTCTTTACTCTCTCTGTTCTTGCTTACATGTTTTTTTCCAGCATTATTCTCCCTCACCCTAAATGTACTCCTGAGCATAACTCTGAGGAGCCAGGACACTGCGCTGCGCCACCCTCCCCATGAGGAAGTCACCTTCCGGGCTTCAGCACCATCCAGTCTGCGGGCTCTAGCCAAGTGTCCCCAGCTCTTCCGGCAACGTCTGGGTCTTCTCTAGAAACACATCTTTTCTGCATTATTTTCTAATGTAGAGGAATTCTGCACTCTTCCCCTGTCTTTCATGTCCTTGTAAGTCTTAGTGCATTTCACAGGGTTAAACCTTGGCCTGAGTGCATCCTGGTGTTCGTGAGTTGACTCAGCCCAAAGAACACTGTATCACACCCTGGGCTGTTCCCACCACAGGTTGTGTGAACCTTGGTCATACGATCCTGCTGGTCTCTCTGGTGTGACCTTGCTGTTTTCCCCTTGTAAATGATAAGCATTTTGTGGGGGGAGAATATTGGTCATTATGCCCGTGTTCTGTTCTTCATCACGTCTCTCCCTCTGGTGTTAACATACAACAGTAAGTTCTGTTTTTGTGGCTGCCTAACATAAAATAACTCACATGTTTGTGTTAAGAGGGTTTTTTTTCCCTTCTCTGGTCATTACCCATTTGCTCAGTAGGGTATGATTGTTATTTTTCTCTATTTTAATGATGAAATTAACCCTGATTTTTCCAGTGGAAACCTTTTTACTATGCTTTTTTGTTCTTTTTATACTTCCCTGTTCATTCTGTGTCTCTCTATTTCATGGTCACTGTGCTGTACTGGTCTTGCGTGTACTTTTCCTGCATTGGTCATGTGTGTAAGAGCTCTGGTTCCTTCGGGTGTCTTTAATGCTTAGAAACCAAGATCTGGTTGCTTAGTGTGCTCACTGCTACTGGAATGTCACTGCTTCTAGACCCTGAGTGTACAGGCGTAGGAAATACAAATATAAGTGCACATGTGTGTATTGGAGAAATATACATCTATGTTTTATTTTGAAATGTTGATTTCATATATATGATTTTATATATGTGTGTGTATATATATATATATATATATATATATATATATATATATATATATATATAAAAATTATAGTTCTCCCAAAATAAGACTGGGTCTTATATTAATTTTTGCTCCAAAAGACAAAATAGGGCTTACTATAAGGGGATGTCTTATTTTTTCATGTACAAAAATCTACCTTTATTCAAATACAGTCATGACCTCGTCAGGTCATCATTCAAACCCGAAGTTCTGGCCTGAATTTCTTGTAGCTCCATGTCCTGTAGACCCATGAGTCCCCATCTCTCAGTCCAGCTATCCAGCTCTCCTTAAACGAGCACTTGCTCTCCATGCAGCTGCAGGCGGTGCACTGGCAACACAGCTACCAGTGATTTTATCCCATGAATGCTTCACCAAGTCACTACCTTTTGCAGGTGAGGCTCAGAGCCCAAAGTTTCCATTAAATCAATTGTTAATCAAACACTTCAGAGACAGGAGTCATGACAAAAATGATAGTGACAGTTAAGAATGATGGTCTACACAAAAGCAATGAAAAATAGGTACCAAAATTCAGAAAATGTTTCTTATTATTTCTTTTTTTTTTTTTTTTTTTTTTTGGTTTTTCTCCGGTACCGGGAACCGAACTCACGACCTTGCGCTTGCCAGGCAGGCGCTTTTGCCGCTGAGCTAAATCCCCAGCCCCTGTTTCTTATTATTTCTCATGAGTGCATTAAGTACATCCATGACAATACACAACATATTGAATTATGAAGATTCATATTAGGCACAACCCATGTTACAGAGAGCCCTTCTGGGTCTTCATCTCAGCCCAGGAAGTTTATATTTGTAATCCCATGGGAATGTTACTGGAATTCTAGCGAGTTAATTCCAATCTTACCACGTACAGTGCAACCCATGATGAGAATGAAGACACTAAGGCATATTTGTAGTTATGGAGAGCCAAGGGGTCCTAAGTCCGATGACGATGATGGCTATCAGGAACAAAGGCCTTGACCCAGCGCTGAAGCTGGGTTTTATTAATTTGTGAAGAAAGGAGTGGCTTGAGGATGAGTGACTGAGAATGGTGGTGTAGAAGCTTAATCAAGCGACTCAGCAGGGAGCCAGGGTCCTCACTTTGTAAACGTCTTCATCCTGTGCAAGAGGAGGGCAGGGAGATGGTATGAGTGCTCCACCCACCCCAGGGCGGGTAGCCTGCATCCAATATAAGGGAGGAAGAGAGGCTTGCTTTCTCCTCCTTTCTGCTGTCTTCTGCTGCCTTAAAGTGTTACCCTTATGCCATGCCACCCTGTCCTGCAGCCCGCTGATTTTGGACTGAAAAGTCCACAAACTGAGCTAAATAAACCTTCCCTTCCTTAATTTTGGCTATCAGTTATTTTGTCTCAGCAACAAGAATAAAGTAACTAAGACAGATGGGAAGTAGGTGAGCTGGGCTAGGTAGAAGATCTGCAGTCACCTCTGCAATATGCAGAGAAAAGGATATGCAGAAAGAGTAACCTGTAACACAGCTGAGGTAGTATCTAATGTTTTGGGGTCAGTGCTTCAGCTCTGATGTGTAACTTTTTATGCCTGGGAAGCCATAGCCTTGTATCTCTAGGCACAATCTCAGTAGACAGCACTGATTAACATTGCTTAAAGCCAATTGAAGGGATAAGGAAACCTCCTAGCTGTCTTGGTTACTTTTCTCTCATTGCTGGGACAAAATACCTGACACCCAAAATTAAGGAAGGAAAGGTTTATTTTACTTACAGTTTGTGGAGGTTTCAGTCCATACTTGGCAGATTACAAGGCAGAGTGGCACATGGCAGAGGGCTACAGCTCATGGTGGCAGAACACAGCAAAGCATCAGGCACGCACACAAGGGAGGAAATGGCCAGAAGCACCCTCTTTCTCTCCCTTACATATGCAAACTGTCCACCCCAAGGCGGGTGCAGCTCTCACATCCATAATCAAACTGTATAAGCCTGCTCCATGACCGCATGAGGCTTTGGGGGAACACACAGACACAAACCATAACACTAGCCAGTTCTCTACACATCAGTACATGGAAATAGCACCAGGTTCAGACAAAATGGAGACAGTTTCTCCTTCTTCAAGGAGAGTCGCCTGGGTGGTCCTTCATACCATGTCTATTTCTTATCAAGTGCATATATTATTTGTGTAGTCAATCAGCAGTAAGTTTCAGGCTCATCTGTTTACCTTTCTCGTCCCTGAGTTCCCACTTGGGCATTTACAAATTATTAATTATAATTTATATTATCATTTATTTAAAATATTAATGTTGATAATATTTATATTTAATTATACACTAATATGATTTTATAATTCAGTGTGTCCATCGTGTGTTGCAGTGGACATACTAAAGGTGTCTGTCTGACAATCTTTCCTGGGGCTTGTTTTGGGGATAAGGCTTATTACAGTGTTATGAGAATCTGAAAAATCATGCTAGGGCTTATTTTCCAATTAGGTCTTATTTTCAAGAAGGTGTGAAAGACGTGTAAAAACACATATTCACGTTGTGATTTTCTTTTAGTGTGTATATGTTAAAAGCCCAAAAGTCACTAATAATTCTAATTCCAGTCTTACAACTTGGTACCTTTGTATTACTTTTAGCCTTTGCCATTTCCATGCGATTTCAGACAGTAAGAGATTTGGCTTTCACTTTCTCAAGTAATTTGACTGTTTAATGCAGCCAATCTTCAAATTGCTCTAACCGTTACTCTTGTGCACCACTTCTAGAAGCCCCTCTGCCCCATTTTTTTTTTTTTTTCCCTAGGTAGGATCTCGCTTTGTAGTTCAGGTTGGCCTTGAAGTTGCTATGTAGCTCAGGCCTTGAACTTAACAATGACCCTTTTGCCTCAGCCTCCCAAGTGCTGAGATTACAGGCATGTGCTACCATGCCCAGCTTGCCCCATTTTTTTTAAGCTCCCAGAATTTTACCTTCATGGCTGCCCACCTACACGTGCCCGCAGGAACAAGACTATGCTAGGAGAATAGGAAGATGCCTATGGATTTAGATGCGTTAGATGTCATTTGCCAAGTTAATTAGTTGTCATTTAGATGTCATTTGCCAAGTTGTGGGTCTAGAGTTCAGGTCCTGCTACAGAACATATTCATGGTATTTTTATATATGTAATTATGTTGATGGCATTCATTGGAGAATGATGAAGCCGTACAGAAGACTATATTTTATGTTTTGCACCATGTAGCATGCCAGCAACCCCCACCCCATGCAGACAGATTTGAACCATCCTTCTCAAGCTCCGCTGTGCATACTCCTCGCCTGCAATTAGTTGAAATGGAGGTTCTGTCTCTTTAGGTATGAAGTGGAGCCCAGATTCTCCATAGGAGGCTCTTAAACGGTGGTACTGACCCTGGTCCTCAGACCACTCTTTAGACAGCACGCCTCTCAGGCAACCCCACTCTTTGCTTTGAGCCCTTTATCCGATCCCTGTTGTCTACCAACTAATGTTCCCTGTTTTGAGTGAAGGGTGCATCATGGGCCTGTTTTCCTGCAGTGATTTTCATTTTTTCACCGACACCAATATACACCAATCCACCTGTGTGCACACATATGCACACGCACACATATACAACCCTTCCTCTGCTAACACTGACCTTCTTGTAGTTACCAAATAGACATTTCATTTCAGACTCTGTTCATCTTATTCTTGTACCATGAGCACTTTTTCTCTTAGATTACTCATTTTTAGGCCTTTTGATAGTCTACTTACATCATCATCAGATGGACTTAGAAGTCTCTTTGCTTATAAGAAAGCCTTAGCTACACCTAGTTCACCTTATATTGGAATAATTGATCTTCTAGTCTGGTCCTACCATCTGGACACACTGCTAGCGTAATAGCAGGTACTTATCAAATACTTAAATTGAACTGATTCTTCTCATAATACACTCTCAATAAAGAATTTTGAACTGTGAATTTGGCTTTTCTTCTACCTCTAAGTAGTAATTCCTGTGGAAAGATAGTTTAATACAGCTTCTGCCATGAATTGACTAGAGATTGAATCCCAGGCTTGTTTCTTAGTAAGTATGACTCCTTGGACAGTTGATTGATACTTTAAACCTTATTTATAAAATGGAGGAAATAGCAATATCAGAACAACCTTGAAAAAACTGAAATGAGGTTATCTCTAAAGCATTTTCAAAGACATAGTAAGTATATGCTAATATTGTACTACTGGGGCAGAAGAATGAAATCTGGGAGCCAGATGACCTACGTGATCAGTGGGAATTGTTCATCTTTTGTTTTAATATTTAGTCCATAATTAATTCTTAAATTTGATTGTGCTTAAAGATTACCTAAGGTGGCTGTTAAAATATAGACTGCCTATACCCCTTGCCAGAGATTCTAGTTCAGTGTCCAGGAATCTACATTTTTAAGTAAACATTTTAATGTATTTTAGACTGTTGGTGAAACATACTTTATTTAAGAAGCCCTAGACTTCTGTGTGTGTGTGCTGGAGATAAAACCTGGGGCATTGTGCATGCTAAGTATGTCATCTAACACTGAACTATGTTCCCAGCCACCCTAGTTTTTTAATAAATGTATTGAATTTATGTTTCTCCACTTATCAAATAGGAAGTATAAGATGAGGTGAAAAGGTAGTAAGGGAAAACTAACTGAAATGAACTGGGAACAAATGACCTAACAATAAGACTGCATTAGATATTTTATAAAAAAGTACAAAGTTCAGTTATTAAATGATCTGTTATTTTCTCTCTTTTAATGTAGGATGTCTACGCAGGGACGAACAATCATATTCTCCATTCATCAGCCTCGGTATTCTATCTTCAAGCTGTTTGATAGCCTCACCTTATTGGCTGCAGGAAAACTAATGTTCCACGGTCCTGCACAGGAAGCTTTGGACTACTTTGCCTCAGCAGGTACGGTTGACTTTTTTGTGCAGTTTGTCCTTTGTTCGTAGAGTCCTGGGAGATAATTTTTCCTCATTTTGCAATGTTTGCTTGCTGTGTAGGTCTCTTTCCATTTCCTGTCCCATTTGAGTGTGCATGGGTGTTTGTGTGTATGTATGTTTCTCTTTCCCTAACAGTTCTGTTAATTAACGTAGTGGACTCATGGCCAGTTCTTCTGTCAGATTAACAGCTTTGGAAAGGCCAAGTCAAAAGTATCATTGAGTTCTTGAGCATATAACTGGTGGTACATTATCAGTTTTTTCCCTCACATGATCTTGCTCCACCTTGACGAGGGCTCATGGAGATGCTTCTTCATTTTCTCGTAACGCTAGCTTTCAGATTTAGGCTGTGAATGGGTGCAAGTGACTTATTAGTCAACAGAATAGTGGCCAGTTATAAATCTGACCTCGATGGGCCAACATTCTGTAATTTCTGGGCTAACTGGTTCTTTTTACTTACTTTAGATTTAATTAGAGGATTTTTTTTTTTCTGTGACGGTTCATGTAGTCTACTTCATTTTAGAGATATTTTGGTATGATTATAGATGTGGTTCCTCAGCTCCAAATACAGTTTTAAATATCCACGAACTTCCTTAATTTGTTTTTATTTAATCTCTCTCATTTAAAATAATCAACAGGGGAATGAGTAGGGCAGAGGAGATGAACCTCAGGCCAAGTTCAGATGACTGTGACACAAACAGTTGAGCTCAGAGTGTGGGTGTGCTGTGCTGTCATCTCTGCGGAGTGCTGCTGTGGGGATTCACTTCTGTTTGGAGTTCTGGCAGTGTGACAGGTGATAGTTGGGACCTGTGGATTTAGTAGGTGGAGAAGCTGTCATTACCGATGTAGGTACTGACGCTCCAGCATTTCCTGCGGGAACTCAGGGAGCACAGTGCACTCAGACATTTAATCTTTTTTTTCTTTGTACATAGACTTTGATTTTTTTGAAGAAGTACAGATGAGCACCAGAGTGTATAGTGCATATATATATATAATATATATTATATATATCATACATATAGGTACATTACACACATATACATATAACACACATATTTAAAATATATATAGTATATGCATTTTTTTTGAGCCACAGCCTCAGCCCTTTTTTATTTCTCTTGAGAGAGAAGTCATGAAGTTGCTCAGGCTGGGATTTAACTTGGGCTCTTTGTGCCTCAGCTTCCCAGAGCTGGGGTTATAGGAATGTGCCACCATGCCTAGCTAACGCCATAGCATTTTGATTCCTGTTTGGGTTTTATGATTTGTCCTCAATAAGAATTTTTTTTTTTTTTTTTTTTTTTTTTTTTGTCTTTTTGAGACAGGATCTCGCTATACAGTTCAAGCTGGCCTTGAGCAGGTCTCAGGACCTCACAGAATTAAGAGGTCAA